TTGGATGGATTATCGACCGAATTCTACTAGAGGTACAAAGAGGAGCTGGTACCATTCCTTCTGAAACTATTCCAAACAATTGAAAAGGAGGGGCTCCTCCCTCACTCATTTTATGAGGTCAGCATCATCCTGATACCAAAATCTGGGAGAGACACAACAGCCAAAAAAGAAAAACAAAAAACAAAACAAAAAACCGTCAGGCCAATATCCCTGATGAACATCGATGCAAAAATCCTCAATAAAATACCAGCAAAATGAATCCAGCAGCACATCAAAAAAACGTATCCTCCATGATCATGTCAGCTTCATCCCTAGGACACAAGGCTGGCTCAACATATGCAAATCAATAAACCTAATCCATAACATAAACAGAACCAAAGATAAAAACCACATGATTATCTCAATAGATGCAGAAAAGACCTTTGATAAAATTCAACATCCCTTCATGCTAAAAGCTCTCAATAAGCTAGATATTGATGGAACGTATCTCAACATAATAAGAGCTATTTGTGACAAACCCACAACCAGTAGCAAATTGAATGGGCAAAAGTTGGAAGCACACCCTTTGAAAACTGGTACGAGACAAGGATGCCTTCTTTCACCGCTTCTATTCAACATAGTATTGGGAGTTCTGGCTAGGGCAATCAGTAAAGAAAAGGAAATAAAGGGTATTTAAATAGGAAGAGAGGAAGTCAAATTGTCTTTGTTTGTAGACAGCATTATTCTATATTTAGAAAACCCCATCATCTCAGCCCTAAAACTCCTTAAGCTGATAAGCAACCTTAGCTTAGTCAGGATACAAAATCAATGTGCAAAAATCACAAGCATTCCTTTACACCAACAGTAGACAAGTGCAGAGCCAAATCATGTATGAACTCCCATTCACAATTGCTCATCTTCAAAGAGAACTACAAACCACTGCTGAAGGAAATAAGAGAGGACACAAACAAATGGACAACGCTCCATCCTCATGGATAGGAAGAATCAATATCATGAAAATGGCCATACTGCCCAAAGTAATTTATAGATTCAATACTATTCACATCAAACTACCATTGACATTCTCCACAGAATTAGAAAAAAATTAAATTTCATATGGAATCAAATAAGACCCCATATAGCTAAGACAATCCTAAGCAAAAAGAACAAAGCTAGAGGCATCATGCTACCTGACTTCAAACTATACTATAAGCCTACAGTAATCAAAACAGCATGGTACTGGTACCAAAGTAGAGATATAGACCAATGGAACAGAACAGATGCCTCAGAAATAACACTACGCATCTACAACCATCTGATCTTTGACAAAAACAAGCAATGGGAAGGATCTTCTATTCAATAAATGGTATTGGGAAAACTGGCTAGCCATATGCAGAGAACTGAAACTGGACTGTTTCCTTATACCTTATGCAAAAATTAACTCAAGATGGATGAAAGACTTGAATGTAAAACCAAAAACCATAAAAACCCTAGAAGAAAACCTACGCAATACCATTCAGGACATAGGCATGGGCAAAGACTTAATGACCAAAACACTAAAAGCAATTGCAACAAAAACCAAAATTGACAAATGGAATCTAATTAAACTGATGAGCTTCTTCTGCACAGCAAAAGAAACTATCATCAGAGTGAACAGGCAGCCTAGAGAATGGGAGGACATTTTTCCAATCTACCCATCTGACAAATGTCTAATATCCAGAATTTATAAGAAACTTAAATTTATAAGAAAAAAGACCCCATTAAAAACTGGGCAAAGGATATGAACAATCACTTCTCAAAAGAAGACATTTGTATGGCAAAAAAATATGGAAAAAACCACTACTGATCATTAGAGAAATGCAAATCAAAACCATAAGGAGATACCATCTCATGCAAGTCAGAATGGTGATTATTAAAAAGTCAAGAAACAGTAGATGTTGGTGAGGCTGTGGAGAAACAGGAATGCTTTTACACTGTTGGTAGGAATGTAAATTAGTTCAACCACTGGGGAAGACAGTGTGGCGATTCCTCAAGGATCTAGAATCAGAAATACCATTTGATCCAGCAATCCCATTCCTGTGTATATATGTGAAAGAATATAAATCATTCTACTATAAAGACACATATACACGTATGTTTGTTGAAGCACAATTTATAATAGCAAAGACATGGAACCAACCCAAATGCCCATAAATGATAGACTGGATAAAGAAAATGTGGCACATATATACACCATGAAATACTATGCAGCCATAAAAAGAAATGAGATCATGTCCTTTTCAGGGGCATGGATGAAGCTGGGCGCTATCATACTCAGCAAACTAATACAGGAACAGAAAACCAAATACTTCATGTTCTCACTCATAAGTGGGAGTTGAACAATGAGAACACATGAACACAGGGAGGGGAACAACATATACCAGGGCCTATTGGGGGACTGGGGGCAAAGGGAGGAAACTTAGAGGATGGGTCAATAGGTGCAGCAAACCACCCTGGCACATGTATACCTGCATAACAAACCTGCACATTCTGCACATGTATCCTGGAAATTAAAGTAAAATTTTTAAAGAAGGTAATTGCAATTGAAATATTAAAATATGTTGTTTCTATATATTGAATACACATATTCCACATCTATTTTGTATTTTAATATGTATTGAATAGTACTCAAAAACAAAAACAATTTTGTCCATGCTTTTCAAGAAATGATTCTGGGTTAATTTCAGATACAGAAATCTTCAACTCAACTTCACAATTATATCCAAAAATCTGTTCAAGATTTATTTTGGATCTAACTATGCCAGATAGAACAATAAACTTTTAGAATAAAGGAGAATATTTGTATGACTTTGGGGGCAGGTAAAGATTATATAACTAGGATAAACGTGCTAACCATGGAGTTTTAATGGACTCCTTTAAAACAAAGAACTCTTCATCAATAGACACCATTAAGAATGTGAAAAGAGAATCCAGAGAGTGGAAAATGCGTCTCACAATACACATATCCAACAAATACCTAGTATCTTAAAAAAAAAAGACAGAGAGAGAAAATGGCCAAAAGATATGAATAGGCACTTTGCAAAAGAGGATATCCACACTGCTAAAAAGCAAAAAAATAAAAAATAAAAAAATAAAAAAAATGCATAGCTTCTTTACTTTCCAGTAAAATGCAACTGACAACCCAATGAGATACTAACACATTTTCACCAGAATGACTAAAAAGCAAATTCTCAACATCTACCATCACTGAGGAGGACATCGGGGAGCTGAAAATCTATTCATTGCTGATTTTTGGATAAGTAGATACAAAACTCTGAAAAATAGTACACTAAAATCTCCTAAAACTAAATACACCCTAACTTAGACTTTAGTTACCCCTCTCTATTGTCCCAACACCGATGTGTACTTGCGTTCATTAATACACGACTTGGAATGTTCACAGCATCCCAATTCATAACAGCGGCAGACCCGAAACTCTTCGAGTGCCCATCAATATTACAGAATAAAGTGTGTGGTACAGTCTTTCTCTCTCAGTCTTGCTTTCTTAAGTTTCAGTTACCTATGGTCAACCTGGGTCTGAAAATAGGTGAATATAATCACAATAAGATATTTTGAGGAAAAGGAGAAACCACAGAATTCACTTAACTTTGATGACAGTATACTATTAACTTGTTCTATTTTATTATTGGCTATTGTTGCTAACATCTTACTGTGCCTAATTTCTAAATTAATATTGTCTTTGGTATATATGTATAGAAAAAATAGCATACGGGCCGGGCGTGGTGGCTCACGCCTGTAATCCCAGCACTTTGGGAGGCCGAGGCGGGTGGATCACGAGGTCAAGAGATCGAGATCATCCTGGTCAACATGGTGAAACCCCGTCTCTATTAAAAATACAAAAAATTAGCTGGGCATGGTGGCGCGTGCCTGTAATCCCAGCTACTCAGGAGGCTGAGGCAGGAGAATTGCCTGAACCCAGGAGGTGGAGGTTGCGGTGAGCCGAGATCGCGCCATTGCGCTCCAGCCTGGGTAACAACAACGAAACTCGGTCTCAAAGAAAAGAAAAAATAATATACATAGGGTTTGGTATTACTGTGGTTTCAGGGATCCCTTGGGGGCCTTGGGATGTATTCCCTAATGGAAAAGGGAGGACTACCGTATCTTCACATGGTGGAATATTACAGCGCATTGATAATGAGCAAAGGATAATGGTATGAAAGAATATGGACTAATCTCACATAGAGGGGAAGAAACCAGACAAAAGAGTGCCTACTACTTGCCAGATAATGTGATAAGTAAATTACACAAATTACCCAATTTATTCCTTACCACAACACCCTCAGTTACTATATTTGTTTCATTTTACAGATGAGGACACTGAGGCTCAGGGAGGTTAGGTCTCTTGTCTATGTCCATAGCTAGTAAGCTTGTAGAGCTGGGAGACTTGGAGTTGCATCAATGTCCTGCCCCTTTCCACTGAGGTCCTCATCCCAGGGCTGGGAGGCATTTCCAAACTCTCGGGAAAGTCCCCACTTGTTTGTCTAAAGTGCGAAGAGAGACTTTACTGTCCCAGGGTTCAGAGGATAAATGGGATTATCTATGTGAAAGGGCCCATTTGTTTTTGGCTAAAGAACAGTGTTGTTTCCAACAGCCAGGAGAGAAAATTCTGTTCCCCTGGTGTCATTCTTTCTCTGGTTTCTCTGTGCTTTCTAATATTCTGGAGAGAAATCCAGACTTGAACATGGAGTGATTTGATGTCTGATCTTTTCATTCAGGATGGGTGGGTGCAGTTGTGATGCACGGTTTTTCATTAGTGAGCTGTGGGTACTGAAGACTTGTGTGGTTCCAGAGGAGCGTCTCGAGAGTGGTAGCACATTTCCCTCATTCATTGCTTATTCTTGTTTTATGGCCTCCAGACCTCGAATCTAGCACTGTTCAACAGACACATAACATGACCCACAAATGGAAAGCACATGTGTAATTCTAAAATTTTTAATAATCCATGTTAAAAAAGACAACGCTAATTTTAATAATGTATTTTATTTTACTTGGTCCACTCAAAATGTTATTTTGATATGGAATCAATATATAAACAGATTAGCATGGAGATATTTTATATTCTCTTTTTCTTAATCTTTAAAGAACATTTTACAGTTTATAGCACATCTCAGTTGAGACTTTCAAGTGGTCAATTACCGCATGGCGGTAGTGGCTACTGAACAGGGAAGCTCTAGTGTAATGAATTTCATGCAATTCCCTAGATAAGGTCCTTTAACCTACACCTAGAGGTAACATTTATGGTACATCTGGTGCATGCCAGGTAGGATGCCCAGCACTTTACATGCCTTCTCTCATAACTAAGAAGTAAGTATTAGTGCCTTCTTTATTTTACCTACGAGGAAACTGAGACACAGGCCAAGACAAGTGCAAGGTCACAGAGCTTGTAAATGACAGAGTCAGAATTTGCACCCAGGCCATCTGGCATTCCACCTCAAGCATATAACCGTAAGGCTTGCCAAGTACATTTTCACTGTAATATTAAAGTTGGTGCAAAAGTATTTGCAGGTTTTTGCCATTACTGGCAAAACCTGCTGGCAAAAACTGCAAACGATTTTGCACCAGCCTAATAGAACAACATATAGGACTTCTTTGTAAGACTTATATAAATATTATTCAGAAGTTTCGATTATTTCAAGAATCCAGTTCCTAGTTTATCAAATAGCATTTTGGCAACAAGGCATCTTTCTCCTAAGACCACTTATCCCAGTCACTGGAAGGAGAATATATTTTAACACATACTGCAGGACACAATCAAGGCAAAAATCTCAGGTTCAGGCCCCTAGGGTCACCTGGCACATTCTAATGAAATACTAAATGGAGCAAGGTGCAGGTATACCCTCATTGATACAACAGACCCGGTGCTGAAATTAGGGTGACGAATCCTCAGTTTTCCCAGAATGGAGTTTTCCCTGGCATGGGACTTTCAGTGCTAAAGGTCCCAGACAAACCAGGACAAGTTGGCTTCCCTACCTGAAATGGTGCAGGTGGGTGAGGGCCTTGCAGAAGACATTGGACCTGTTCACCAGCCCACCAGAGCACTACGCAGGGGAACTGATTCTTTTCCATTCTGGATTGTTTTCTTCTTGGCCGGACCCTGAACACGTCAGCCTTCTGTTCAAATATTGGCCTTTGTTCATGTGACTGCCTGTTACTATTAGGTCGGTACCATCCAGTGGACCCCTCGTCTGTCTCATCTCACTGACTGTAGCTCCTCTGACCTCTTCTCTCTTACTGCAGCAAGGGAATCTTTAAAAATGCAAACGTATCAGGCGCAGTGTAATCCCAGTACTTTGTAAGGCTGAGGCAGGTGGATCATGAGGTCAGGAGTTTGAGACCAGCCTGATCAACATGGTGAAATCCTGTCTCTACTAAAAATATAAAAAATTAGCCAGGCGTGGTGGCATGCATCTGTAGTTCCAGCTACTCAGGAGGCTGAGGCAGGAGAATGGCTTGTATCTGGGAAGCAGAGGTTGCAGTGAGCTGAGATCACACCATTGCACTCCAGCCTGGGCAACAGAGCAAGACTCCATCTCTAAATAATAAAAAAAAAAAATAAGCAAACACATTTGATCAATGGACCCCCTCAAGTGCCTGGGGCTAAAAATCTTTCAATGGTTCCCCAGATAAACAGCAAGCATCAGCTGGGCGCAGTGGCTCACGACTGTGATCCCAACACTTTGGGAGGCTGAGGCAGGTGGATCATGAGGTCAAGAGACTGAGACCAGCCTGGCCATGGTGAAACCCCATCTCTACTAAAAATACAAAAATTAGCCATGCATGGTGGCACACACCTGTGGTCCCAGCTACTCCTCAGGAAGCTGAGGCAGAAGAATCGCTTGAACTCAGGAGGTGGAGGTTGCAGTGACCCTAGATTGTGCCACTGCGCTCCAGCCTGGCAACAGAGCAAGACTCTGTCTCAAACAACAACAAAACCAAAAAGAGCAAGCCCCTGAACAAGTCCCACAGGACAAGGCTTAGCTCCTGTCTTGCTTCTGGAACTTTGTCTTATGCTATGTCCCCTCTGCTTGCTCTGCTCCAGCCCCAGTGGCTCTTGCTCTGGCCTCAGACGTGTTCTTCTCCCTTCATCCACAGAACCTTTGCTCGTGCTCTTCCTAACGCCTGGAATATTCTTCCTGTTTCTTTCCTGATGCCTGTTTATCCTTCAGATCTCTGCTCACAAGTGGCTTCCTTGGGGAAGGCTTCCCTGACTTCCCAGTCCACTTAACAGCCACCTCACATGCTCCCCACCTCCCTTCATAGTTCACAAGTTCACGTGTGTGTGTGTGTGTGTCTGATTCATTCTCATCTCTGCCAATAGAGTGTAAACTTCTTGAGGGAGTAGCTGTGCCTCTTTTGCTTAACCTTGTATTTCCAGCACCTAGCACCAGGCTTTGCACAAAGTAGATGTTCAATAAGCATTTGTTATTGGAATAAATGATTTATAGTAAGTGTTCAGTGTACATTTGGATTTTTTTTGGAGTGGGGCAAAAACATTGCTAATAATAGAAAGTTACCAACCTCATTTTGTTGGATTAGTAATGAATTTTCTCCAAGCTCAGCACTGTATCTTGATCATCAGGAGAAACGTTCTCTGATTTTGAGGGCTTAGAGGGTGGGAGGAAAAGTCATTAGAATAGCAATTTAAAAATGTTATTATTATTACTTGAGACAAGGTCTCGCTCTGTTGTTCAGGCTGGAGTGCAGTGGATGGTCACAGCTCTCTGCCGCCTCAACCTTCTGGGCTGTAGTGATTCTCCTTCCTCAGCTGACTGAAGAGCTGGGACTACAGGCACCTGCCACCATGCCAGTTTATTTTTTTAAAGTTTTAGTAGACAAGGTCTTGCTTGCTCAGGCAGGTCTTAAACCCTTGAGCTCAAGCAACCCTCCCACCTCAGCCTCGCAAAGTGCTGGGATTACAGACGTGAGCCACCACGTCTGGTTCTTTTAAAACATTATTAAGGGCAAGAAACAACCACAACAAACTCATCCGCCGTCTCCATTATTTAACAAAAGAAATACCATTTTAATATCTAAAGAGTAGGAAGGCTAGAACTTCAGAAAAAAACAAAAACAAAACTTACCCTGGCCAGGCAGAGATAGTTGGTATCTGCATTTTTGCAGTGACGACTTCTGATACTAGTTTATGGATTCGAATCTTGTCTCCATGACGTCCTAGCTGTGTGACGTTGGATAATCAACTTCCCCTCTCAGCACCTCTCTGCCTCCTTCTTGGAGTTGTTGTTAGAATGAAATGATTGGACGTTCGTGGAGCACTTCGTGTCTGACTCCATAAATCACAGTGGTTAATGCAACACAGCAATAGCACCATCGTTACTAACCAGAGACAACAGCGCCACTTAGTGGTTCTTTGCCCCAGTTACAGACAAGCTGAGCCCGCGGAGCAATAATGAGGCATCTACAGGCGGTGAAAGGGAAACGTTGTATCATGGCCAAAGCTGAGACCAGAGCAGAGAGAAAAACCATAAATATTCATGGAAACATTCAGGGTTCAGGCACGTCCGTCTCCCTGAGAATAAAGTTCGTTTCTGGGAAGCTACTGTCCAAGCTGTCAGCCCCATAAGAGGGAGAAAAAGCAAAATCTCTCTTCCTGGGCCCCCCACCAGCTGCGGAGCTGCTTTGCTGGCGTGGGGGAGCTCTGTCTATTCACAGCGGCTGGCAGGGCAATGGGGTTTTGGCGCCGTCCCCCTGGGGGTGGGTGCTGAAAAGGGGGTGGCTATCAGCCAGAGCCCTCCCTGCCTCTTGCTTTCCTTCGAGGTTTGAAGAATAAAAAAGGAATGTGGGAGTGTTTTTGTGCTGGTCAAAAACAGCAACAAATATAAGCTCTGTGCAATCCCTGATAAGGGTTTTGCACGGATAGAGCTATTAACCATTGGAAATAACACTTTGTCCTCAGAAAAGCAGTAGCGGGAGAGTCGATGAGACCTGAAAGCAGACGTGAGCTCTCTTTTTACCTTCATTCCCCAGTGTGAGAGATGAACAGGGATTTTTCTTTCCTGTCTCTGCTGGCAGGCTTTTCTGCCTGTGGTTGGGAAGGAACCTCAGTAAAGGGCAGAGAAGATTGGCTCTGGAGGTAGCTGGCTGGCATCCAGACCCTGGTTCTGTAACTGTGCTGTGTGACCTGAAGCAAGTCACTGTCTCCTTGACCCTATTTCTGTATCTGCTGGCGATGATCATAGTGTATCCCTCAGTTTGATTTGATGAGATGGTTTGATGTTGAGTGGCCTAATCTATTCTACAAGCTTGGATGCCTGTAGGGGCCAGGTAGATGTCATGAATGAGAGAAGTGGATCAGAGGCAGGGCAGTAGGGACTGGTGGGGACTGTAGTAAACCAGGCAGCACAAGCCCTATGTAACGGGTGCAGCTGGGCAGCATCTTCTGACCCAGGCACTCTGGCATTTGATCCAGGGCATTACAGCCAGCCTCAGAATCTTAAGGTCTGTTTCTATGTTCAAGAGTCTCTTGGTGGGCTTTGGTATTGTTGGGCTCAGCTGAACTAAGAGACTAGATTTGGTCAGTAGTGAGTATGGCAGAAAGAAATGTGAGCTCAGTGCTGCCAGGTGTTTTAAATGAAGCAGGAAATCAGTAACATTTCTTTAAAGAGATAGGGTCTTGCTCCCTCACCTAGGCTGGAGTTCAGTGGTGTGATCATAGCTCACTGCAGCCTGGAACTCCTGGGCTGAAGTGATCCTCCTGCCTCAGCCTCCTGAGTAGCTGGGACTATAGGCAGGCACCACCATACCTGGCTAATTTTTTATTTTTTATTTTTTTGTAGAGGTGAGGGTCTTGCATGCCTGGCCTCAAGCAATCTTCCTGCCTTAGCTTCCCAAAGTGCTGGGATTACAGGATAAGCCACCACATCCAGCTAAACACTTAAAAATTAATACACAACAATCCAGACAGAAAACCTGCGCCAGCTGTGTAATCTTGGGCAAGTCCCTTAACATCTCTGAGTTTCTGTTTCTTCAGGAGTAACAGGATGCATCTAGCTCTTGATCTTAGCAATTCACATTTAACTTTTACATTTATGTGATGAAGTAGTGTTACTATTACCTCTCATTTCACAGATGAGAAAACAGAGGCACAGGAAAGCTAAGTAACTTGCCCAGGACCCTAGAGCTAGTGACAGGGCTGACGTGAGGCTTTAGAAGGAGATAATGCATGCAAAGTGCTCAGTGCATATTAATGACTGCTGTGCGGTCATCAGGTCATTATTACTGTTATTAATAACTGAAATGGTTCAAGGCCAGTTCTCACACTTAGTTCAATGGTTGAAAGAAACTGCAGGACTTCAATATGTCAGACAAAGATGATGGCTTTAAATTATGTGGTAGGTACTTTGGTAGGTGGCTCTGGGCCATTTTAATAGCTCCTTTCCACAGAGGCATTGGACAGCCTTGCCATTGGGTTTCCTGGGACAATAATTAGATTTAGGCCCCTGGTGAAGTCAATAGATTCTCATCTCGGGATGACCAAGCTGATCATGACCAGTAATTTACAGCTTGAGTTGTTCTGAAATCAATATGAATTTGCTTTTCATTGAGAGGGCTGTAAAACATGGGTGACAGGCAGCCCCCAAAAGCAATTGACATGGGAGTGGAGAGCTAGCAGAGCCTGGAGAGAGGCCAGACAATTTAGAGGGAGATAAAGCGAAGGGTAGAGGAGGCTGACCTCTGTCCAGTGGGCTGTGGTCACAGCCAGCCAGAGTTCCCACTGGGACCTGCTCAGGACAGTCTTGGTGAGAGAGTAGATTTGATTGACAGTGAGGTGTGGTGGAAAGGGAGTAAGTTTTGGAGTCAGGTAGAACTGGATTTGTTTTTCAGCTGTGCAATTTTCTATGCTGGGGTGTTGGGCTCAATTCTTCAAGGCTTGATTTTTCTAATTAGCAATAAGCAAATAACTGAACCTGTTGCACAGATGCAGGTGAAATAAAGCTGTGTTTGCAAAGTGCTTATTCTACTGCATGTGAGGCTGTGGCTGTTGAATGCACTTGCTAAAAGGAAAGGACTGCAGAGTCGGGTGGACCTGGGGAAACATTCTGCTTCTTTTACCTACTAGATGAATAAACTTGGGTAAGTCATTCTACCATTTTGAGCTTCAGTTTCCTTATATTGGAATAGCAATAGGAACGTCTATCCAGGATGGTTGTTATAATTAAATTAGATTAGATGATGCACATAAAATTATGTTAGCAAACTGCATGAATATAGTGTGAACTCAACAAGAAGAGGGCATCAATTTTGTCAATTTGATTCTCATCCATCCCAAACGGGGCACAGAGGAAGCTCTCTGTTAACATCAGCTCAATTGCATGATAAATTGATGAGTTTTTAACATCCTTAACTTGGGTAATTTGAGGAGAGTTTAATAAAAAAATTAATGACACCAAAACATATTTAATAAAACAGCCACTAAAATTGCACGTACCTAGTCTACTTACACATATGTGGATAGGGCTCTGGAAAACCAAGATACATGCTGACTGCCAGGGATATACCAGTGGGCAGCCATTGCCACTGTGGAGCCGATAAGAGCATTGTTCCAGCACTTTCTTTCTGAACCACTGCAACGCCTCCCAGTAGAATAGGAAGAATGAACATGCCCACCTGATTTGTTGTGGGCTTGACCATATGACTTGCCTGAGTCAGTCGAATATAAAGTAGGAAGTGATTGGAGCAGAGGCTAGAAATATGCTTGCATGGCTTGGCTCGCCCTCTTGTGCTTCTGTCCTTTGCCATGAGAAGAACGTGCTCCTTGTATCTGACGGTCTCAGAATGAGGAGACCCGTGGAGCAGATCTGAAGTCAGCTGGTAGCCTGAGGAAGATCAGCTGAACCCAATAGCACCAAAGACCTACAAATCCTTGAGCAAAGAAATAAATGCTGGCTCCTGTAGCCACTGAAATTTTGAGGTTGTAATGCCATTAAAACTAATACCTGCCCCAGATTAGAATGGGTTCAGGGAGGTGAAGTTACTGGATTGGGTTGCCTGAGAGGCGCTATGGCTTTCAAGGGGGGAAGTAAACAGCTCGCCCACACTCCCTTCCCTCCCTTCTATCTCCTCCTCGTGCTTCCCATTGCCTGAACTCAACTAGAAATAGAGAGGAAGGGAGTCAATGATAGAACCACTGAAAGCCAGCTCCCCGGGGCACAGCATGTGGTAGAGAAGGATGGAGAGTGGATGTGGAAGGGCAAATGGGAATTATCCTGTATTAGTCTGTTCTTGCATTGCTGTAAAGAAATACCTGATTCTAGGTAATTTATAAAGCAATTTATTATCATTTAATTGGCTCATGATTCCGTAGGCTGTACAGGAATCATGGTGGCATCTGCTTCTGGGGAGACCCTGGGAAACAATCATGAGGAAGGTGAAGGGAAGCAGGCATGTCTTACATTGCCTGAGCAGGAGGAAGAGGGAGAGGGGGCCAGTGCCACACACTTTTACACAACCAGATCTCGCGAGAACTCAGTCATTATCAAGAGAACAGCACCGAGCAGATGGTGCTGACTCATTCATGAGAACTCTGCCCCATGATCCAGCCACCTCATACTTGGTCCTGCCTCCAACTCTGGGGATTACAATTTGACATGAGATTTAGGTGGGGACACAGATCCAAACTGTATCATATCCAGTGCAATTAAGGGGGAAGGAGGGTATGTGGAACTCTCATATTAACAAGTTACTGTGCTAAGACCTTTGCCCAGGGGCTCCATCTACGGCCCTTTGAGTATCTTCTTCTTCCCAATTTTTTCCTTGGCCTCCTGGATTACCCTTGTTCTGTTTGGTCACCAGGAACATTCTTTGGGATGTGAAGCTCAGTGGAGTTAGCCGGGAGGGCTTCCTTCAATAACCCCATTATTTCAGAATTTTCACCTTCCTTAATCCATCAGTCACACAGGAAGTGTTTCCAAAATTGTCATGGCTGAGAGATGGATTTGGGGAATATTTTCTTCTGTCTGTTCCCATTACTTTTTCCTCCTGTTGACTCCAAACATCTTTAGCAAAACCATATGTTCTAGGGTATCATTCACAGGAGTCCCAGCTCCATCCTGTGCACTCCAATTTTTTTTGCTATTAAAAACAATTTGGCTTTGACAGGAGCAGTTTAGCACAAAAGTGCAGATAAAGAGTTTTGAAATCAGATGTAAGTTATAAAGGCCAACTTATCTTTGTAGCAGCTGGGCGACCTGAAAAGAGGTCATAGCAGCTGGGTGACTTGACAAGAGGACCTAATCTAACTCCTGAGCCAGGAGAGATCATTTCAGCACCAGATCCTAGAGCCACTTATGAGAATTAAATGGGATATCCATGAATGCCCTTAGCACAGTACTTTGTTAATGCTTAATAAACTCATTACTCTACACTTCCTAAGTGAGGTCAGGGGTAAGAATGACTCTAGAATGGGGTGGCACGGAGTGCTCTAGCTGATGCCCCAGCACTCAGCTACCCACTCTGGGTATCAGGTGGGCCATGCACAGTTCTTCTGTCAGTGGCATTCCATTAGCTCTTGGAAAAGCAAAATTCTTCTTTCCGGGCAGGTAGAAGCTGAGGCATCTCTCAGTCTTCCAGGGCTATGGGCTGTATTGGGAAGAGGATTTCTCTTAGAAGCAGCCTGCTGGTGGTCCCTCTTCTGGTACCATCCACCTATTAAGCAGCCATTCATTTCACTCCATTCTAGAGAAACAAGTATTTGCCAAACCCTGTAATATCCTGAGATCTGTGAATTCTTAA